CGCAGGTATACATATCAGTTTTTTTTAAATTTATTTATTGTATACTAATATTAGATTTATAATTTTATTAAAATTTGTAGTATACAATGATAAATATACCTACCTACACCACATTAAAATACTTTTTGAATTATAAAATGATGGGCAAGTATAGGTGTACCGCTCTGCTGTACAATTGTAGTTTTCTAGAGAGGCAATGTAGAATTAGAAAAATCTTTAAGGTCGGCGACAATGCAAAGATCATTGAACTTCGTTCTACGATAGAGTTTTGAAAAGCCAATGCTAGCGTCAACGGCTTTGTCGACTTAGATTGTAAAACCAGGGATAAAACCTGTTGTGCCAGTGAGTTTTCCACAGTAAACGGTTGCTGAAGTCGTCGATGAAAATTCTACCGATAATATTAAGGCGCCGGACGATTTGGATTTGCAATCAGTCGGTTTTGACGGTGACTGGCAGGAAGAGGCAACACCTAGACGTGTTCGAGGCAGGCTGTTTCTATCGGGTTTGGGAACGAGACTAGTCAGTAGGACGCTGTGCTGCTGGTGTGGAGTACCACCTTCGGTACAGGAAGAATGTGAGTTTGTCAGATTCTGTAAGACGACGAGCATAGAAGATTTGGAGGATGGAAAATTGTGCTTATCCCGTATTTATGCATTATGCTGTGTTATAAACTTATAAATATTAACAAGATTGTTAACTATTTGTTATTAAATGCATAAAATAACAATTGTATTTATTTGTTAATTCAACTGACTGGTAGGTAAAGACTAAATAATAAAAAGCAATTATAAACCCGATGTTTCTATAATAATGCGTAATTAACTAAAATGCAGAACCACAGTATAGAGAAGGAACGAGTTCGAAAGAACGAAAATATTTCATTCATTTTTTTTCAATTAGGTATAGGTTACACCTATTTTATTAAAATAAATTCGTTTTTCAAACTTAAGTTATACATACTTACTTTTTTTATGTAATACCTACTCGAATTAAAAAAGTATAGTCTAATAATCTATAATAAAATATTTTAATAAATTATATCATAATATACTCAACATTTTAATATTGTGTTAAAAAAACTAAAAATAAAATCATTTTTTTTTTAAATATAAATATTGGTATTATTCTAAGGGAGAAATGGGAATAAGGACTTCATAAAGGTATGTTGTGCCTTTAGCTCAAAAATACAAAATTTTAGTTCTATAAAAAAAACCCTGTTAATACTTTATATAATTATGTAAAATGTATTCTATATATTATATTATGGTCACGTTTTTATTGTACAACAAAATATATGATACCCATAATATCGGAGCGTCTCATCGCGTTTTACTGTATATACATTATACATAGGTCGGTCGGTTTCATGTGACGAGTACGTTGACGCAGTGGAAGATATAGCTGGGGGGAGGAGCAAAAGGGCGTTATATTTTTATAAATGCTGAATAAGAAATGTGATTTAAAAAATATACGTAGGTATTGATGATAAATGTGATCGCTTTTTATTGTTCGCTCAAGTGTATCCCCAAGACGGTCGTGTGTTATGCGTTCATAAAATAATTATCATAATAATATCTATTTAGCTAATACCACCCTGAAATTCTTTGAAGTTCGTATGAACATAATTATATAAATAAGTAAATAAATGTTATAAAATATCATATTAAGTTTATATTTATACAAAAGTAGATGTTAATTCAGGGATATTACTAAAAAATGTGCAATAATGTGCTTATATATGTGAATTATGGAATATTCAAAAATATACTAAAAAACGTGTACTTGCTTAAAAAAATCATCAATAATATTATTATATTATTATATTTATAATTTTAATTCACCAAAATATTAAAATTTACTAATACTACCAGGTGCATTACTATATTTATATATTTTACTACACCAATTATTAAATAACTACGGTTATAAGGTCTTATAAGTAACATACTATCAATAAATTGATGACGAGTAATACATTGAACGTTATAGACACTCACAGAAAACACTAACTTCTTTAAAAATATTTATTTTGCATACATTTAAACTGTTATATTAAGTATAATAATATTTTTGGAGAAAAATATTAGTTTTTTTCTATTTTTTACCGTTATTAATTTTTAAGTTTTTAACTCTTTTGGAATGACAACATATAGTTATATACATTTTTAATTCATTTTCCTAATTAAAATATTATTTGGAGTATTTCGACCCATGAGAATTCGGACAAGTATAGTTTATTAGCTATAACAAATAAGTATTTACAGTTTTGATGAACCTAGTATTAAGCCAATAACGCATTTTGCAAAGTATTCACTTCACTCCGCTTATCAACACTTTAATACTTATAACTACTATACTCGTCCAATTTGTATTCATCAAAGTACTCCAAAAAATATTCTAGTTTGGAATTACGAATCAATAAGGTTTTCATTAAACAAAAAGTAAAACATGGAAAAATTTTAACTACAATTTATTAACTATATTTATTTCAAATAATGAGTTAAAATTCTGATTTTCGAAGTTTTTAAATAATCTGGTCTTTATAGGTAAATTTAAGATTTCCAAAAAACAGATTTTGAATAGATAACTAAAAGATCATAATACATATATTATTGAAGAAAAAAGGGGTGAAAATGCTGAATGGTGCACTGTTATAAAGTATAAAGTATTTATAGGTAATTCAAGCTTGATGAATGATGGTATATACACATAGGTACACTATTCCGGTAATGTGGACCACTCGTAACCAGCTGTGGGTTGCAAAAACCACGGTATAGGTATCGTGGTATACACTCATGTATAATACCGGCTGAAGTATATACCTAGTAAATCTCAATTTTTTTCGATAGTGCTTTTGTCTCTTTAGCTTGGAACGCGTGGGAGGGTAACTACGTATATATATATATATATATAGGGAGGGTACCTACGTATATATATATATATATATACACGTATAAGAACAGAACAAAATGGCCGAGACAACTCCTCCTCGTCGGCACGCTAGAAAAGCGGTTTTCTAACGCCACGGCACGACGACGACCACTGCTGTCGGCGCGGCACGTATTGTAATGTTGCATATCCGCGATTCGGATGTATAGATCGCGATGTCGACCGCGTTCGATCGGTCGTCGCGCACGAATTCCTCGGGGGCTAGGTAGATATACGCCTGCAACTATACGTGTCTATATGCACCTTTACATATATTATATATATATGTGCACTGCAGTATATTATAATATACGCTAGTCCCGTGTGGCAAAAAACGCTATCGTCCGAAACTCCGAAAAGACCAAAAAAAAAAAATTCCCATAGGTAGGTACTCCTCGCGGTACTTAACGGTATGCCGAGCATATAATAATATATTTATACCCGACAACCATCATACATATTATAACACGAACAGCATATCTAACCAGCTAGAGCTATATAGTATAAGATGACGCATTTGCATATCAAATATTATATGTGTTAAAGCTAAAATACGTAATGTCATGATACGCATGCTGTGAGACGATATATAGGTATACCTAATAACCGCAAGAGTTAAAATATAAAATGTTATTTTGCATATTACATAAATGAATACTTCGAGTCATATATTTTATGTGTTTATCTAAAACGTTTATATAGTTGATATTGTATACAATCATATTGCGTATGTATACTACATATAATAAGTACTATTGTATAATTGTAAAATATCCTACGCCATTAATTAAGGAAAACCAAATTTTTACAATAATAATTATAAATTATTAAAGACTAAGATGTATTAAATTTGTAGTTATTATTTATAGTAAAGTTAAGTTGAGTTATCATAATAAGGGTTAACTGTACGTTACTTACTTCAAAATATAAGGAAATTTCAGAAACCAAATAAGTCTAGTTACAAAGTATATAATATGGTAACTGTATATCTAGCCTACACATAAAATAAAATTGTAATAACTAAGATTTTTTTAAGTTGTGTTCAGCTGTGTCATAACATGTTACGATTATATTATATTATGATCTATAGTCAGTTATCACCATAAAAGTGATTCAATTATTTAGTACACATAGATTAGTATAATTATTACTATGGCAGCTGGTATTGGTACTATTATAGCTTTACAGTATTCTTCTATACAACGTCAATTAATATAATATAATTACAAATATATAGGTGAAGAATTATAAATTATTGACAATAACATAATTTATACTACCTTTACTACAGTCGTCGATTCAATGTTTAAAAAAAACTTGAATTTTTCGTATTTTAAATATATATAGGAACCTACATAAATAGTTCTGTACTGTAGGTATACCTACTGAAAACTGAGCATATATTGCTGCAGTTGAATTATGCATATAAAATGACACATAAAATATGTAATACTGCAGTAAGTACCCTTATATTATATATATAATATCGGTATGGGTACGGCAACTCTTCTGCTTTTTGGGGAGTTGGGTGAGGAAGAAAAAAATGTAAAAAAGCATAAGTACGAAAAAACGCTCTGTAATAACGTTTCTTTCTCGATGTGCCGAGTATAGGGTATAATGGATATATATGTATATAAACCTATATACATATACCTACCGTGATATATATATATATATAGGAACCGATCCGATAGTTATATATAGTGCTGTAGTTGGCGTGGACCTGCGGTGGTGGGGAGGTGTGGGTCGTAGGGGTTATGTGTGGTGTGGGTGCGGGTGGGTGAGAGGGCTAAAGAGTGTGCGAGTGAGTGTGTGTCTGTTTTTTTTCCGTTCCGTTTCGTTTCGTTTTGTTTTCCTCTTTGGGTTTTTTCTTTTTTTTTCGTTTCCCCCGTTTTTCTGGCCTGCCTCTCCGCCGGACCGTTGAGACAGCTCGACCAATGGGCGATCAAGGGGGCGTCGCGACGCGGGCGGGGCTCGGGCGCCCGGCCGGCGTCGCGCACCAAGAGTGGGGGTGGAGGGTCCGCGACGGGCCGTGGGCACGGACGAGCCGCACGACGCCGCGGCGTTCAGTTCAATGTTCGACACCGGTTGCGATCGTGTAGTATGTGAGAAATTTTTTTCCGTTCCGCCGTCCGTCCGCGCTCTCTCGACATCGGTTCACCGTAACCGCAGTAATATTAATAATATCATCGTTATCTATACCGTCTCACGGCGTCGAAGATAATATAATATTATATTATAATATTGCCAGCCAGGCCATCATCGTTTACGGGACATCGCCGCCGTTCGTGGAATATTAATAATATAGGTGCAACACGCCTGCAGTGCAGCCTGTTCCGAGGATTTCGAACAAAATATTACATTTCATCGGTATTTTGGTACCTATATATAATACGAGGAGTACATTTTCCGATCGTTTCGTTTTTCGCGGTCCGTCGCGTATTTATCGATTCCGCTTGTGCGGTTTGTTTTTCGTCGTCCGATTTTCAGTTGAAAACTTTTTTTCCGGGTTTTTCGCCCAAAGTGATATTGATTTCCATGCGCATATATGTCATCGATCGACTTAATTCGCAGTGCTATCGCGTCATGAAGTTTACACGTCAGAACGCCGACTGCTAGGATATACATACCGCAGTAAACGTGAAATGTAAGTTTAAAAGTATAATATTTTAATTTCAGTTTTCGACACATACGCAGTCTATAATTTATTAAATACACTTATTATTACACTTAAGGTCGAATATAATTAACTTTTATGCTATATAAGTTTTATCAGCACCGCCCAAACACCCAGTAAGGATTTTATCCAATTTTTTAAAAATTTTAAATCACCGACTGCTAGTATATTATACATACCGCAATAAACGTGAAATGTAAGCTTACAAGTATATAATATGTCTTAGACACATATGCATAGACAGTCTATAATTCATACTACACATAAGGTATAAAACACATAAAGTAAAGTTAACTTTAATGCTGTAGAGGTTTAGGACCAGAGTACCACCCAAACTATCAGTTATATGTTTTTATCAGATTTTTTAAGATTTAAAAACGTCTTTTAACTCATTTACTACATAAAAAAAAATAGTATATTTCCTTAGGTATATACCTATATTCCAGACTATGCCAAAGCAATCAGTCAACCTATGACCACTATCGTTGAGATTAAAACATTTCTTTAATTAAAAACTGTAGGTACTGATTTATGAATTTTATTTTTATTTCAGTACATTTTTCATCTTGTCATTTTCCACATGATTTATTGAAATAGGCAAATCACACTTTTAATACTATTTTACAAAACTATTGTGTTAGTCAAACATATTTTCACAATAAATTCATAAGTATAGGTGTACTTGCGCTGCTTCTATATTATTATTTTAACAAAACCATTAATGTAAATAGGTAGGTTTATATAGGTTTTTATTAGGTGCACCTAACATGTGAGTGCAATTATAATATAATATATTTTCAGGTATAGGTAGGTAGAATATACTATGTATATTGTAGTTATTCAAGTACCAATATTTTGATAATATTTTTTGTATGGAACGATTACAATTTTTGCTATTTTATTATTTTTCTCAACATACATAAGTACTTATATGTATTACATCTTCCAATAATTTTTCATAAAATAGTTCTTTAAACAAACATACTAGGCATAAGAAGATACTCAATTGTGTATTATATTATATAATGTAAATGCACAATACTAAAATAAAATATTCAATACGATTTTAATACAGAAATTAAAAATATAAAAGAAAATAATATGTCAAATACTAAAATTGGGTGTTACTACATATCAGACATTACTAATTTTCAGAGGAAAATGTGTAATACGTTTACATATCATAATTATAGTTAAATAGAATTTAAATTTAAATTTGCCAAATAGTTATAACATAACCATATAGTATATAATATGTGTACACATTATATGTAGGTACCTGGTACATATACTATATTTAATAAAAAATATTAGATTAATTAGAATTTGGATTGTAATTAAAAATTTAGTTGTACACCACATAATATATGTATCTCACACTTTTTCTCATATCTATTTCATATTATAATAGTAAATAATTAAAATATATAAATGGGAATTTTAAATTTTTTATAATATCATATAACTATGATAGCCAGCATTATTTCATTTTCAACATGCGTTTTCTTGCATTAGAAATTAATTCTTGATCAATCAATTAAAATAATAAACCTACGAAAATTCAAAATACTGTGTATTAAATTTGAATAAACTAATTATAACTGCCGTTTTAAGGTCAATATTTTTTTCATTATAATAAAACAATTGAATAAAACCAATGTCTAAATTATAATTTGGTGTTGTTGTTTCGATATATTATGAGTGTCACACTTGTGTATAAACAATGCAACTTGTAAATACACTTAAAACAGTTCTAGAGGTTTTTTTTTAAAATTGTTTAGTAACAAAAACACCCATTTCATACAAAACAAAAAACAATATTATACATTTAAATATAATTGATCTTCATGTATAAGTGCACTAGTTCAAGTACCTACATCTTCAGATTTGAATTAAACAAAATATAATATAATATAGCTATTGTATACTTTTTATTTTTAACGATTGTTAGAATGCACCTAATTTAAAGTTCATGGTAATTTAGAAATATTTTTACTTTAAGACGTAGGTACATTGTTTAATTACAAATAAAAACTTCTAATACCTATAGGTACGCATTTTTTCATCATTTTTTTAAGCATCTTCTATAATTTAAAATCTTACCGTATGTTTCTGAATTATAAAACAAAATACATAAATAAATACAATTTGATCTATTTTTAAAGTTTAATAGAATATTTTTGAAATACTACCTAAGCATAGGTATTCAATAACTGTTGTATATAGGTACTTAAATTACTCGTTTACAATAACTAACACATTATAAATTTCTAATACATTTTCCGTCACGGAATAATTTAAATTCTACATTTCCTAATGTGTTTAAAATTCGTAAGTTCAAAACCCCGCTTAGGTAAAACCCAAAAGGTCTGTACAATAACAATTTTGAAAAGATTAGCTGAATATAATATTCGATTTAAAAATAACAATATAAGATAGGAGATAGGTGAAAAAATAATTTAAACCAAGATAATAATTATTGATATTATTAACATTTTAATTTTGTTCGCACACGCTTATCCAGAATTTTACTATTAATATTTTATTTTAGTATACCTACCAAGTTTTCAAAATCTATTTTTTTACAACCATGAAATTTTTAAAAAGTACATAGATTGTATATAGCTTCAACAAACTTTACAACATCAACTTGTAGATAGTTATTTCTCTTAGGTATATTTAGTATATACCAATTTATAGGGATAAATATAATTATATTATTTAATTACGCATCTGATTGTGTATAATTTCCATAATATTCGTTCTAATTTAAATTCGCATTTGATATAGTGGGTACGTATATAAGTATGGGCTTAGCTATTTATTCAAATATACACCTGTATATGTTTCTTTCGAAACACGGGTGAGGATGACTTCTATATATTATTCTAAATTAGTTATAAATGTAGAAGTAATACCATTCAAATGAGCTGCAGTATGCGTCTAATATAGGTTCCTATTATTATATGCATCGAATTAAAATACGAGATATGTAATACAAACGTCAAACACATACCTATAGGTACATTCAAATTCAATAAAAAATTTTTTTTTCTCAAACGTCTTTTGTTGTAAACGTTTACACTTTTTAATAGTCTGAACATATTATATACAGATTGTACCTACATATAATAATTGTACCAATCGCACCTATATATATTGACTCGTATCACAATTCACAGCGGTGGTCCCTCAAAATTAAACTCTACACAATACATTTTATGCAATATCATATATACAATATGTCAATATACATATACATATACATAATATACGTATAAGTATATAATAAGTATATAATATATAAGTATAATAACTTATTATAACTTATTATATAAGTATATAATAAGTATATATAACCAGCAACCGTGTATAATATAATAAGTATTTGCCCCATGTAGTGTCGATGCTTTTCATGTATATAATAGCTTGCCCCCTACGTCATAACAACTGTTTATTGGTGACATCCACATAATATTACGGCAAATCTCCGCCAGTACCAACCTACCTATATATATATAAGTATTAAGTACATGTGTTCGGGGTGCAGCAGCAGCCAATTACCTCCCGTTTTGCGTATATATATAATATATAATAATATATGTATGTATAAATACAGCATCGTAGGAGTACTTACTGCAGCAGCTTGTATATAATAATATAATATAATACACCGAGTATCCCCAACAATAGTGGCTACAGGTGTCTGTCCTTATGTGGAAAGAAGATTAGCCCACTTAGCGTGCACGCTGTATACGTTATTTAGAATAAATTGCAAAAGACCTCCATAAATATCCGCAATATCTTTGTTCCGATCAGGTTTTTCTTATATATCCCTTGGGTATCTATGTATACCTATTTATTTTTATTTCGGCCTATATGATATCTGCAGCAGCCCGTATACACATACTAGGTAGTAGGTACTATACACTACTATAATATTATTACGATCGACTATTTACCTATATGTGCGGGTGTGTGTGTGTGTGTATTATGTAAAAATGTGAGCCTTACGATATGTATAAAATTCGCTAACAATCGCCCTCGTACCGCGATATCGTCGAGTACCTATATGTTTGCACACCGTACGTTATTGCTTTTAATAACAACGCTCAATAATATAACGATAATAACGATAACGATAGAAAACAATTTTCTCTTGTACATATTATTTTATATAGTAAAACACAATATGTACCAGCTAGGTACCTTAATAGAATATCGTATAAGTTTGGACATGATCCTGTTTAATAATAATTAGAATGGCAAAAATGTTTTATTACAATATATTATAGAGCTGAAATTAAATTTACATGCGGAGATACCACGGAGTAGATCGGTTTTTCGAATATTATTTTATCACCAAACACAATATGATTTGAATTTAATACCTAGGTACTTTATTATTATAAATATTATAATAAACGTACGGAACATATTATCGAATCAATAATAATAATATTATTTAAGTATACTGCAGCGATGCATTTATTATTATTATTATTATTATTATTAGGTATATTAAATTATGTACGTGCTCTCATCATTGTCAACGTTCGGGCGCCTGTTGTTTTCCAATTAAAATACGTAGCGGCGAATTTTTTTTTTTTTATTATTTTTTCTTATGTTGAAAATCGTGTGTTTTATCGTCTTTCCCACTGTTTTCCCATCGAACAATGGGCACCTTGAATTCCAAACACGCGCAATGATTAATGTTCTAGTGTTCGCAGGTACACACTAACACACTCAAACTTACATAGGTACACACACTTATAATATTATAATATATACCTATATATAGGCGCATAATATAATAATAATATTATATAAATACGATTTACGTAATTTCGCGTACAAGTTAATTTACTTCACAGCAGCTATTATTAGCACAAGGTGTATAACATGCGCATCGCATATTATTATATAATACAATATAAACGGAACGTATGACCCTCAGACGTGGTGCAGAAAATTTAAGATGGGTAGGCCTATACCTATCTGTTTATAATATAATAATAACTAGCCAGGATTTGAGCGTGGGTACAAAAAATTATAATTATCTAAATGGCAGACATTTTTTAAATGTTTTTTTCGAATATCATAATCGTGTGTATTATTGGTCGGCCGTGTACCACTTATGACTAAAAATAGAACTATTCAAAATTTCAACAAATATTTATCAATAATCATGTTTCATAATAGTTTAGGTCAGTACATTAGACAGTGTATTTAATTGGTACCTTTAATAATATGACGTAATTACACAAAACATAAAATAATAATAAATCTGTTACAAACATTATAACAAGTAAAAATATTATTCTATTCATTTTCCGCTATACCATCTCACGGCCTTTTGCGTACCAGCATTCAGACTTCTGAGTATAATATCAGTGGTACGCGCACCACAATTTGAAAACAGTTGAGTTTTTATTTTTTGCGAGAAAATTTTCGGGCGTTTATGACCGCCGTAATTCGTCTCTAATTCTCCCGTGATCTATTATACCATCGGCGAAAAGTAAAAATGCCAATTCGCCTAAAATAAAATAATGGATACTAATTATAACCTGCAGTATAATGCGTAAATGATGGTCATAATTCGAAGGTATCTAGATAACATTATATACACCACGTCTTTTTGTTATTTTATTGCTAAAAAACACTTTCCTTTGGCGCGAAACATTCCGGTCGCACGGGGCGTTGAAAGCAATATGTGCAGCTTTACCTACACCAATATATGAAAATGAAAATAATAATTAAGACGAACTCACTGGTCCCGGTTAATTGTAATAATTACGTTATCTGCAGATCTCGTTAAGATACAACCATAAGGTGCTATATGGATAACCGCGAGCGCGTAAATGGAACGACTGTTTTAAATTTAAAATCGCGTGTAAATAGGTATAATAAACATGCGTGTTTGTTATTATTATTATCATCTTTTTTTTCACTCGTATGTGCATCATATAGAAATTCGCGGGGAAAGCTGAATTTTACGATCCACTGCCGTTCTTGTGTCAGTAAACCACCGAATTTCCGGTAATTTGCGGTAAAACGTGCATATTTGATTAGCTTTTCATTTTCATATCAATTATTTAGATGTTTCAGTGTTTGTTACCAATGTAGGTGTGATGTTTCTATTCGATGGTTCGGTTCACGCATATTATTATAGTATATAACATTTTTTTTTCAAAATATTTTACTCTCCTGCGAGTGCAGAGCTTTCTCTGTTTTTGAATGTCGTCGAGATTTTTGTTGATATTATAAATAATCTATTCTAGTTATGAATCTTAATCAATTGAAGTTCCTAAAAATTAGTTTCACTTTCATACACAAAATATAGGGTTAAGAGATATTAACTATTTTTCGAAAATTCTTCAACGCATATCGACGAAAAGAGTTTCTTGGAATCAATAAAAACTAAAATTAGATTTCTGGGGACGAACCTATGCCATTTAACGGCAAAAGTCTTATCGGAAATTAACGAGAAACATATAATATTTTACATTTATACCTAATGGCTAATAGGACTGGAGTTCGGTTCGCAGAATTTCAGAACGATCGATGACGTTTCGACGGGTTTTTATCATCCAATATATTATAATTTATATCATTGGGAAGTCGGATCACAGGTCCACCGACGGGCTAAAACCCAGGCACGGTTTTTAGGATAAAATATTAGGGCATTTCATATACTACTACTGTAATGTGGTAAATAAATAAATTGATTTTCATATTTTCCAATTTCCAGCGTGTCACATACGCGAGAGCGCTTTAAAGCGGCATGGAAATGGCTGCCGGCATGGAAGTGGTCGGCGGTGCCGGCGCTCATCATCATCACCACCATCACCCTCACCACCGGAGCTGGTACGAGACGCCGGCCGGATCGTCGTCGTCGTGCCGGGACGAGCCGCTGGTGGCCGATAACATGTCGGACCACATGAACTCGTTCTTCGCCCATCACCACGTCAGCGCGCTGGACGCTCACCCCGCGGCCAGGGACTACCATCATCACCGGGCGGCGGCGGCGGCCACAGCCGCTGCCGCGGCGCCGTATCACCGCGACTCACTCACCGTCACAGCACGCTACTATCACCAGCAGATCCACTCGCCGTTCGCTCCGCCACCACCGACGTCGTCGCACGGTAAGTCTTCACCACTGTACTGTGAATATAGCACTAGGAATATGTATATTTTAAGGTTTGAAGTGTTTGAACGATGTACCTATTCAAATTTCAGTGATTTTTATTTTTCACTTTCCCCTACGATTTGATTTAAAACATTTTTTATGCCAAAGGAAATAGTGTGAGGGGACCTACAGAGTTCTTCTCTAAATCGTTCATCGCAGTACGCTTTTTGAGCTAAAACAACATTATTTATTTAAACACAAATTATTGCATTTTCATAAAGATTATAATTTATAACCGCCGTAGATGGAGTAGCTTCAATCGTTTTTCGGTATAAAACTATACCTATTAAGTACAACGACTGCGACGATCTCTCGAAAATGTTTTTTCGAGATCCCAATTATCTAGCCGTCGCAGTACGTAAATGCTAAGAAACAGTCCTGTGGCTAATCGAATATTTTATAATAGGTTTAAAATAATTAATATGGTACAGGCCTATCCGAGTCCTTATCGACTGCAACACTAAAACGGAACTGCACTTATTATTTTTATTAAGATTCGCGCATTTGATTGATCGGTACGATCTGCAACGGAATAATTATTATATTATACTATAATATGTACGATGGCTTTGTGTATATAGCACTCTGTCTTTCCCAAGACACGCTTAAATGTTCATTACAAATTATCTTTGTTTTCGAGTACACAGTAATGCTTGTTTATACCTACTTGAAATAAATACCTAACCTATCCCAACATAAAATCATTTTTATCTATATATTATATAGATAGTAAAAAAAGCTATATAAATTCTAAATATTTCAACAGCTATATATATTATATATGAGTGTGCGAACGATGTATAAATCATAAAATACCCCGTCTGGATTCTACCATGATATTATATACACTCTAAGTACCGGAACATTGTTTTTATTCATTTTACGCAATGCTTAAACTATAAAATATACAATTCATAATATAACCTATATATTATATAAATGTACATGAACCATTTAGGACGACGTGATTGTAATAATATTATATTAGATAGAACCTAGGTGTCAAAATACGTTTCGAAAACTACATTAATATTTAGATATGAATAAAACGGCGAAAACATAATACATATTTACGGCCATGAAATTTCACCCGTTCAGTGTCGCTTGCGTTTCCCGAGCACCAGTCCTACTCCCTATCTTATATTGCTCCTGTCATGCCAGACGCTGCAACTTCACTATACGATAATAATATTTAGGATTAACTGTATAATCATTATAGGTAGGTACTGCAGTCGTCCGTTGAACACGTACCTGCTGGTATGATATATTATTATTATTATTATTATTGCCACATTGGTCATTCTATTTCTTCGCAAAAACAACAATAAGCCCATCATGCAATAGTCCGTCATAATATAAATAAACCCGCCGCCCTTCTATGTGTGTTTAGAACACGAATATCGGAATAATGCGCACATAGATATAATATACACACAACGAGCTTCGTGTTGTCTATATGCGCTGCGGTATACGATTTAACGGCCTTCTCATTAATTATTAATTAATATAATATATATATATACACTTTATTAACCGGACATTGAGTAATTTTCAAGTGTAGAAAGTGAAACACTGTAATACATTTGCTGCGGCAAACGCGTACATGTTTATATTATAGTATGTACACATCGCTGATACACTGCTCTGCAGCTATATACTGGCTATACATAATAAAAATATACCTAGACAAATATATATCGAGTCCTGGGTCCCGGCTTGAGACTAGACTTCAGCCAGCGATGATGTACACAGCCTTAAATATTATACTATAGGTAATAGGTATATATACCACGACCGCGTTGTCGTTTTCCACGCACGCACGCACACGATGCCGCCCGTGGAAAACACTTTGCCGCCGCCGTCAAGGATTTATATTTTATGGTGGCATAGTCATGGACGAGATAGCACAACACTGCAATAGTATAGGTACCTATATATACTCTTGATGATGGCGCTGACTCTTTACACCTGGTTGACCACCACCGCACACACACACACACACACACACACGCAAGTCGACGGTCGGTCGTTATACATATGCGGCTATCATTAACCCGCAATAATAATGAAAAACACGACGAAAAAACGACCGAGAGAAAATAATAATAATAATATATGCGTGCCGTATAATAATAATAATAATATATAATATTATACTGCTGCACCATTGTGATGTGATGTACACGACGCGTATATTATAAGTATGATGATATGTGCAGAGCGCCGTTTCGTGTTTTTTTTCTTCTAAGGACACCCGATCATCAACAGCCCACCAAATTGTATATTATAATATTATATATTATACACCTATAATACAATATACACCGGAATTTCGTTTCCACGACTCTCTGTACATACGATTTAGTGATGTTTTTTCCTCTGTTCGCGTCGTGTTCGACAAACACCGTTTTTAGAACATTACCAGCTATTTCTCTGTATTATATACCAACGGCGAACCGGCCCTCCTCCGCGGTGGCCGTGCTACATTATTATATCAATATTATGTATAACGCGCGCCCGCTCTGCTGCATTGCAGCGTTTCATTAAAACCGCTCCGCAGGCATAATTAACGGCTCGCGATCGCTTTGTAATTTCCAGATTCAGAGGTCGTTCTCGTTTCGTATCCCGTCGATATTATTATTACACGTATTAAATTTTGTTTTCGCCTCCTCCGCCGCCGCCTCGGCAGTGTGTGTGTGTTATTGTACCACCGCGGAATCGGTAATTTGTAAGCGTAAACCGAGAATCCGGTAAGAACCGCGTTCGGACCGTAGAATTATCCCTGGACATAATATATCTGTATATAGGTAGGTACTAACCTATGCTCATCGTGAGTCGTGTCGTTATTATTACTATGTTTGTACCTGGTACATTATAATATACGCGACGCCTATATGGTCGACCGAAAAGGATATAAATATCACATTTCGTGTACATCACCAACGTGAAACGTGTTTAAACACAGTGAACCAAAATATCACATTATTAGTGTATTAAACCCAATACATTATATACGCATTGGGTAGGATACCATTCGCATAGGATTTCTCCTAAACACTATTAACAGTATTTGGTTAAGTCGGACTTTGAACAGATTTTCCGATACTACGTGGAAATAACGTCACCGGTATAATATAGTGTATCTATATACACGCACTGCACACATGGGTAAAAAAATAATGTTTATATCATAATAACTAATTTTTCCCCGGCTCCCGAGTTTGTAGGTTCACAAACTACATGTAGGTGAAACGCAATGCAATGTTCTTCTACTCTTTCCGGTCAGGCCTGCATGCTCGCACCGGATACCGTGCAGCACGGGGTTCTCATTATAAAATTGGCTCTTACCCGATAATAATAAAAATATGAAAAAGTATACTAGAGATAAGGATCTGTCACATTATATTACATCCTTTTTTTCACTTGTAAATTATGGATAAATACATGGCTCGTTTTGCAGTGCATTGCGCGTATATGTATACATTTTATAATAAGTACCTACATATATATATATATATATATATATATATCACGCTATAATAGGTATAATATATAATATATATGCACCTCCGGCGGCGGAACTAATTTCGTCGTGATCGATCCGCCGTGTCGCGACGAATTAAAATAATAATGAAATAATACATAATGTATACTTGCAAGCTTGTATAGTTGGTATACTATGTCGCTACAAGTACGAAACAATACAATATTATTATGTCCACTGAGCGGACAGATTAAAATATTTTATTTTCGTCGATATGCGCTTTTCGTGCTGTACACATTCTGCACATCCCATATAGGTACCTACTTATTCCTCGGGAAAGCATACTACATACGATATTGTCAATTTTACCTATAACGTATAAATCAATAACGTCGTCATCGATCGCGATACGTTTGCTCCGACCCAGGATTGGTCTACCACAGACGTCTGTAATAAAAGAAAAACAACACTTTTTCATTTTATATAATATACACACGCAGTTCTTGGCTCGATTCCTGAATAATAATAACGCTGGGCATGATGAACATATTATATATATATATGTGTATAATACTTCATGGGTAGGTATAATATAGGTATTATACGTTCCTACCTACAACACTATAAGTATATTAAATGTGCTTACCCGTCTTTACGTATAACGTAATACACAATATACTCTGCAAAACGTTCTAAAAAATAAAAAAAACGCTCACTCATATTATAGACGCGTTTAAATTCGTATATACATGTGTGTGTAAATGTGTACCTATATAACTATAAATATACCTAAACCACCAACCATATTATCACTGCTTCAGCGGCGAACGTGTATCTCCATCGTTTTTATATTCCGGCGGCCGGGCCCGCGGCTAGAATACGAGAGCTAGAACTCGTATACTAGAGCGATTTTTATAGACAAAAAAACAACTACACATATTAATGTTATTAACACGGTTGTAATCGTTGTGTTTAGCGTCTTTTGGAGTACCTATGTATATGAAGTCGATCTGCTGCAGAGAATATATTATTAAATATAATACATAATAATACATATACTGTAGGTATACAGGTGTACGAGTATTATTTATAATTATATAGTTGGTACGCGGTTTTACAAAAACCGATTTGACAATCCGATAAAAATCACTGCGATTTACGCCGTGCATACAGCCGGTAAACCAAATAAACATTTTTTTAAACGTTTTGTACTAAAACAATGTGTTCAACTACACCGTCACCTAAGGTAATATACAAGTACCTATGTTCGGGAAACATACAGTATTCAAAATCAACACCGTCGTTCAATCGTATTTTAGTATTGTCGTTTCACTCATGTTATATATTCCGATCAGATTTCGTGTTTTCTCGCCTGAAAATATTATGTCCCCACGCCATCTGAACATGTAAATAATATATTACCTAACTTAAAAATCGTAACTCGTATTAAACCGTTAGGTATTCATCATAAC